ACGCAAATTTTTCGGCTATAGTGAAATGTCACTTTTATCGTCCAAAAAGACTCATTTTGAGAAAACAACATCATCAGACAAGAAAGCCTAGGTCTCTTTTACAGAAAAAAAGGCTTGAAAGAAATTTGGAATATTTAACCAGAATCATTTGTTAATCCCTTTGGAAATATGCAAATTTTTCTACTATAGTAAAATGACATTTATATCGTCTAAAAGCCTCCTTTTGGGAAAACAATATCATCAGACGACAAAAAAGAGATCTCTAATACAGAAAAGTAGGCTGGAAAGAAATTTGGAATTTTTGACCAGAATCATGGGTTACTCGCCCCTTTGGAAAAATGCTATTTTTTTACTATTATAGTAAAATGAAAGGTGTTGGCTTGTATATTAAAGATTCTCTGAAATATAAGAGGTATCTGATGAAGCCTTCCAGTCACTTTGGGTCGAAATCGAACCGTCTGTATGACGCTAAAAATTGACAATAGATTACAAACGAGAAGTGGATGTACTCGGCGTAGTTCAATATGGAAGCCATTATACTTTTATCCCTTTTATACTTTTCTTATGTTGTTGTTGTTGTTTTTTAAATAAAACAGGAACGAACCCCAGATCAAAGCAATAACATTGTTCTCCGCTAAGAATAATAACACGATAATAATTCTTCCTCATTTTTTCATAAACTTACTAAGTTTGAGGTTGTGTACTTTTTATATATATATATTTTTTAGGTTGTGTACTTGATCCAGTAGGAGTATCGGATAGAAGCGTTTTTTCGGATCAGAGGTTTTCAGCTTCGTCATCTATTAGGGGCCGCAGTGCATCTGATGGCCGACTTAAAGGAACCATTGCCTGGATTCCTCTCACAAACGATGACAACAATGATTTCCTGCAGATCGACCTGGGATCTCTTTACTTTGTTTGTGGAGTAGCAACACAAGGACATCCCAATAATTATTATTGGACAAAAACATACAAGATAAAGACGTCCCTGGATAATGTCGGGTGGACATTCTACTCTGAGGGTGGTTCCGAAAAGGTACATCCTTTTTCGCTATAGGTGAAGTAATAGCGAAATTATAATCGTGGAGACACTAAGTAATAACGAATTGTGTTTACCTCTTAGCCTTGAGAAACCAGGATTTCACATGCCGAAGTTGCTTTCGTCCCCTTTCTCTCCCTTCCATTCGCTTTCCTTTCTTTTCTCCCATCTTCACCGTCTCTAATTGCTCCCTTCTTTTCTTCCTGCCTCCTGCCTTTCTTTATTTTTCCCCTCATTGCTACAGCCTTTCGTCCTTGGTCTCTCACTGTTTACATAGGAAACTTTAGGGAAATAAGTAGTAAAATGCAAAAGAAACTGACATAGACGTGGTTTTCTTTTTAATATCCTTTGCCTATTGTTCTGCCGGCGGGAGTCATCGTCAACGTAGTTGCAATCCTCATAAATATCGTTTGTTTATATGTTTTTTTTTCTGCTATTAACCGTGAGCGGGTAGGGTGAGACGCAAGATACGTAAAAAAGGCACCAGACGAATTTTCGGCCGGTTGAAAAATTTGACCTTGCTTTATTTTTCCCCTCATTGCTACAGCCTTCCGCCCTTGGTCTCTCACTGTTTACATAAGAAACGTTAGGGAAATAAGTAGTAAAATGCAAAAGAAACTGACGTAGACGTTAATATTTTCGCTTTCTTGACACGGAACTAACGAACCAGTTTGAGAATTTTATTTTTTTTTTCGGTTGTTTTTCCATCTACCCATGCGCAGAACACTACCTCAACTGAAATCCAGTATGGTGTCTCCCAGTCGAGTTACCACGCATCCATGCGACCACGCCCTTGCTAGACACAAATTTACATGGTTATGGTGTTCACACCTCTTGATTTTTCTCATTTCAAATGTTTGAACGGTTAGGCGTTCAAATTTTCGTACGGTTAGCGTGTTTCCGTGCGAATGAAACACCTAAACGCACGAATTTGTCTTTCATCGGTATTTCATAGAAATTTTTGTTAATTTGCTTTTAGGTATTTACTGGAAATGATGACAAGAAGAGCATTGTAAGAAGTGAACTATATGAGCCACTTGCTGCCAAGTTTATTCGTTTTTATCCAGTTACATTTCACAACAGCAAAGCATTAAGGGTGGAGGTGTATGGATCTAAGCAAGGTTGGTCTCTTAGTACATGCCCAATATTCAAAAGACAACCACTGCATTAAAAAAATGCACTTTTTCTGAGTGTCAATGTATTTAGCACCAAAGTACTAATAAGGGACTATTTTTTACGGGACTGCCATTTTACGTGGTCATCCGAGCCACGCGAAGGTCTACCTGTTTGCAGGGCAAAGGGAGTACCTTCATTTCTCAGTTATTTTAAGACCTTGTGTATTGATCCGGCCCCGGGAATCGAACCCGCGACTTCCCGCTCTGCTGTTAAACGCTCTACCGACTGAGCTAACCCTACCGCTAAATTCTGGTTTGTACATACGATGCAAGGAAACTGACTCATCGATCAGTGACCACTTAGTTCAGTGCTCAGTTTTAGTAGGGACCGGAGGTTAAGCATGCAACCACAAGGGCGACGGCATCAAAAACCTCACTTAAAAAAGCATCGGCGCTCTTTCAAACTTCATCGCTTTTGTTTCATAACGCTAAATTTGTCAAATGTCAGAGAATTTTTCGCGAGTTGAGTTCTAAAGGTCTGTATCTCAGTTAAGAAAAAAAAAGGAAAAGGAAAATCGTTGTCTTGTGTCCACATTCTCAATGAAACGTGAATTTAAGGAGTTTCACGTCGTTGTCGTGCAGTGACGGCAAAGAGACAAAAATACCTGATGCACATGCAAAGTTGTTGTAAGTTTTTCTTATCTAAAGCCCCGTTCACGCGTAGCCGTTTTTGTTTGAAAACGGATATTTGTTTTCTCCGGTTGAGCCTACCTTCCACACTCACTAATGGACTGAAATTGATCACCGGAAACGCACCTTTTCAAAAACGCTCTCCCGAATCTCGATTTTTGAAAACGTACTCGGCTTTTCTTTTACGTGAGGACGGACGAAAACGGTATCGAATTCGGAATACGATGATGTCAGACATCATATACTTCCAGCATAACGCATGCGCAGTAATGAAGCTATGGTGTTTCTAACGTTTTAGCGTTTTCGTGTGGACGGGCCACTACGATTCTGATATGCTACGTGTGGTTGCGTATTTGTTTGAAAACGGAGGAAAAAATCTCCGTAATAAAAAATATCCGGATATTACTGCCTGACCAATCTTTGTACATCTATGCTTATTTTCTTGTTTCCTCTCTGTTTAGTTTTTCTCCTTTACTTTAGAAAAAGAGTGCCTTTAATAATTAGATTCACTATAATTTGTCCCTCCTCGTTTGTTCCCTTCTTTGTCATTGTAACTAATATGGAGCGGATGGAAGTTTAAAAAAGAGTTCAAAAACTCATTATAATTCATAAAGAAAAGACAAAAGACATTTTAAAAGTTTAATGAGTGACTTTACAGGGACACCCAATGACTGTTTTCTGTGAAATCTGTTTGGAGAAGCAAAAATTGCCCAGAATTTTTAGATGACTGTTCCATTCACGCACAATTTTCGAAGCTTATGTAATAAATTCCCTACGATTTTCTGTATTTCACTCCCCAGGTTAAGCCTTGTTTTAGAAGAGAAAGGAAAGTTAAACCTGAAATTTTTGGAACCAAAAATGCCATGCAGAGAAAAAATCTCACTTTGGCAAAACTCTTAATTAAAGTGCAGCTAAAATTTTCGGGAAAATAATGCTGAAGCCCTGATAAAAATTTTAGCTCTACTTAAAATACATTTCTAGAGATCTAAAAAGACTCTGGATATCCAAAAAAGTGTTGTCAATGCATTTAGGAGGAAACCGTCGCTGGGTGCCCCTGTCTTTATATCTGATAAAGACACGGCTAAACTTGACGTCTAATTCTGTAGACCAAAATCGACCCGAAATCTATAAATATCAGTGTAAGAATGAGTTGATTTATATCAGAGATTTTGAAGTCGTTCAAAACCTCGCAGTCTGTATTATGAGGTTAAAACCAGATAATCGAAACGGCTCCTTTTTGAATAGTACATAAAAATTCTTACTAAACATGTCATATTTCTTGATGATTTTACAGGTTGCTTTGAATCGTTTAAGAATGAACTTCAAACGACCAGAGAATTCACTATTACAGCATCCTCAGAAGTTAGTAGTTATCGAGCTGATTATAGTCGCCTTTATGGTACTCACGGTTGGTGTAGCTCTTCAGTATCTCTACCTCAGTACCTGCAGGCTGATTTCAATCAAATTGTAACAGTCACAGGCGTGGCCACTCAGGGAGATGCTCAAAGGAACAACCGGGTAACAACCTATTTAATCCGCTATGGATATGATGGTAAAACATGGATTAGTTACGGAGCTGGACAGGTAAATTTGCAACATGTATTCATATATCTGTCTGAATTTGCTTAAAGGGACCTCCAGGAGTTTTTCCCCGACATTCTCATTTCGGGCTCGTTTACTTTTCTTCTTTTCTTTATTATAACATTTTGAGTACACGAATCCTCTAACAAGCTGCTGTAGACATAAAATCAGGCTCATCGTCGGTGTAAAAACCTTTGAAACTCACGAGTGACGTTAAACAATGAATACAAAGAAGCCACTGAGGAGCCAACACGATCGAGCCAAGGAAAATAATAGCTAGAAAACAAAGAAAAACTTCACAGGATTTTACACCGAGTCATGTGTTTATGATGCTGTCTACATCTTTCTTCCCCCTCCCCCCCCCTCCTCCCCCGGCCCTACCACGACCACCACTACCTACGATCATTTCCAACAATTCTCATGTTCATGTGACAAAACAATCCTACTTGAAATCAGCGTACGCGATAGAAGTTGTTTTCTCTGGTCGGTAGTTTTCTAGATTTCTTTTTGGCCGCCAGGGGCCAATTACCGTCGTCCAGTCTGTTACCGTATTTCGTCTCATTTTGGCTTCATAGGTGAAAAACTGACCTCGGGCTCGAGACACAATATTATCATATTGCGAGCTTTGTTGTAAGCGGTGACGAGTCTCTCGCCTCAAAACTTAGGTTGTAGGAGTCGAACAATGCACCAATGTTTAGTCCTACATTGTCCGATTACAACCTGTACTTTGACGCTCCTTAATGAACCTATTTGTACAGTAACTGTGCATGTGTGTGACTATCTAACGCACTAAATATTCGAAGCAAATACAGATTCATTCATATCTATAACTCTTTTACACTTTCGAGTAGACTTCAAGCGAGTAAAAACAAAATCACACAACCTTTTAACTAATGAACGTTTAAACCTTTTGTCGGACATAATGAGTAGACAGATCAAACAGAGAAGATTATTACTTTAAAGCTGAAGATTTACTTAGTGCTTAATGTATCCCTGACAACTTTTCTTGTTTGTCCGTTAATTATCGGAACTTCAGTCAAGGAACGGGCCCCTGAACGGACATTTGCAACCCCAGTTAGGGTGACTGGTCCCGAGTCAAGAGAAGCGTGTTCGAAGGGAGCGCGAGGGGTGATGGGAAGGAAAAGCAGAAAAATTCCTCCTTCCCATCACCTCTAGCCCTCCCCTTCAGTGGGTTTGGGAATATACCACACAGATTTTGGTCTCCTGTAAAAAAAATTATTTGTATACGTCCACTTACTTTGTTCTTGACCACTCAGCATTTGACCGGAAACAGCGACAAAAGTACCATTGTTGTCCACTGGTTTGCTCCCGCGTTTGCAGCACAATATGTCAGAATATTTCCCAAAACATATGCTGGTGCAATATGTATGAGAATGGACTTGTTTGGCTGTAAGGATTGTAAGTATAATTTGTCAGAAGGGGATTTGTAAAAAATTAAATTAATGGGATACATGTGCTGCCGTATACAGCCAATAATTAATAGTAATAATAATTAAAAATTTATAACGCGCCTTTCCATGCAAATGTGATAAAAAACGCGATACAATGCCCTGAAAGTTAAAAAAGAAAATAAAAGCTCAAATTTACATAGCAATTTGAGGTAAAAAGTAAATTAAGCCTAAAAGTTGTCTCGTCACACAACGCTCCTCCCCATCTTGCCTCCTCGGTTAACCAATGAGAACAAGGAATGTGCCTCATCTTGCCTGCTAGCCACATAATAAGTACTTTAGTGCTATTTGGTATGATGCAGCACTTTCTAGCCTGCGCAAAGGAAATGGGATTGAGACATTTACTGGCTGCTACATCTACATCTAAATCTACGTCTACATCTACATCTACTGCTGTCGTCGAAAACGGCGGAATCTGCATTTAAGAGTGACGTTTGTATTGTAATGCAAACCTTTTCTCCAGTAGACAGTGTTTGTGTAGGTTGTCCTACAACTTCGAGTTCAATTTTCAATTTATTTGCACGAGTGTGTTTTTCAAGAAAAGTATCAAACGGCCAAAAATTCACCGGATCAAAATTCGTCCACAAAACATCCCCACAATGCAATTCGATCGACACACACCTCAATCCAGCCTCACGCGCAACCTCAAAGTGGCCAATAAAGATTTGCGGCACCTGATTGGTTATTAAACAATTCTATCGTTTTTTTGCCAATCACAGTAGTTCATTCTCTGAGAATTGAATTATATTTCCTCGTTTTTGCACTCTGTTTACTTATAGGCTGTTCACAGTTACCTATTTTTCCTTAAGTTCATCGAGATCGACCGCTTTACATTACGGGCGGCCACCATATATCTTGGATTTTTATCAAATCTACTTTCTCGCCTCCGTCCCCCCGCATAAACCCGACACATTCTAAACCCCGGCTCGATCTTGAAACTGCATAACTGTTCTCAGCCAATCATATTCAATAAACCTAATGGAGTGTAAAATTAAGATATTGTATTTGATAAGTTTGCCTAAGTTATTTCTTGTCGTCTTTACATTAAATGTTTGCTTGTCTTTTTTAGACCACGTTTCGTTGCCGTTAAACGTTAATCTTGATGATGTTGGTTTGATAGCCGACCCTAGTGAATCTGTGACCCTGACCTGTATGGCTAGTTACAGCCCTCGACAACCCTCTGGGTATAGTTGGAGCAAAGATGGAGCGGGGCTGTCTGACACAACCTCCTCTCTTACCATACCATACAACAATGCCAGTAATATCTACAATAACTCTTGTACAAGAAAGCTCCCTTCAGCCAGTGGAGTCCAGTGTATTTCAACCTACCAATGCTCTGCATCTCTTTCTGGAATACAAGGCAGTTATCTGACCACTGCAAATGTTATAGTATCCTTAAGTAAGCAACAATTCGCGCGTACCTTGGTACGCCTTTTTGCTCGTTATTGTGAATGTGAAAATTAATTTAATATCCTTAATTTAATGTCCTTTATAAGGACACGAAAATATTGCATTCCAACAACACATGACTGTAAACGGTATTAGATGAACAAGGAAGTACTTTCTAAAAAATACCTCAACCTTTAACGTATTCTAAGTGGGTAACGTATTTTTAACGCGTTTGTTTATTCGTTGATTTTGTCACTTGTTCAAAGGTTTAAGTGCTGGGTATTAGATAAACTTATAAATAAGGCTCATTTTGAGGCACATTTTTGTTGTTTTCAGAGAAACCAGGCCAGCCAGTTGTTCAAGTTAATCCAAGTGACGTTAAAGCAAAATCAGCAATAGTCACATGGCCGTATAATCCTGGAGCCGATGAAATGCCTGTAACTGCCTACAATCTTGAGTATCGAAATAGTACCTCCACACTTGATATACATTTGGGACTTGTATTAAGTACACGGATTATCAACCTCAAGCCATACACAGCCTACAGTGTTAGGGTGTTAGCCAACAGTGTCTTAGGAAAGAGTCTGTGGAGTAATTTCACGAATTTCACAACAAAAACTGCCAGTAAGTGATGATGCAAATTAGATGCAGTGCTAAGAATAATAATTTATATAATACGTTCTTGTTCCAAAACACTGACCACTGCATCGTTTTAGCTACTCCACTCAATCGGGTAATGAAATATTAACTGCTGCTGTTATCATCTAACATATATTTTCATTAAAATCTGAAAACCTGTGACACAGACAGGGGTGTATGCAAACTAAATCGGCGTTTTTCCTTGGAGTAATGAGGCGTCCGGTTATAGGATAGACTGAACTATTCAGATTGAGTATCAATCGATCTAAACTTAACTTGTACTTTTCCTTTTTAGGGCCTGAAGTCGATGTCCAGATCGTGAGTGTGACAAGCCATAATTCACAAACAATTCTTGTGAAATGGCAGGTAAACATCAGATTTATTTTAACAAAAACTCCTTTGAGTCCATAAGTACTTCGTTTCTCAGGAGGGTTGCCTATTATTTCCATGCTTCCCCAAAGACTATTACCCAGTCGCTATTGAGGTTCGCTGATCTTTCCCTCGCCCCTTCCCACAACTCTTCCCTCTCCCCCTCCGCCTCAATCCTCTGTTACCCCGAAACGCATAACTCATAAATGGTGACTGTGTAGGAGTCTGGTTTCCTCAGACAGAAAAACCTGTGTAACCAGTGCCATCTTTGTTCATTTAATATGTTCACGGCTTTGTGTAAACAAGAAAAAAAAATTTAGGTTTGAAATTGTCTGCATCAACCCCGCAAATTTATCATTTTGAGTGGATTTTACTGTTAAAAGGTTTGAAAATAAACATAGGTAATGGGGACCAGACTGGTTATTAAAGCCGGCGAACATCAGTTTTGGGCTGCAGTTTATGAAGTGAGGTCCATGACATTGCACAATCCATTGTTTTTTATTCATGAATTGTGACTGACTGAATAAATGCGGTTTGATAGAAATGATATAGAAAGTTATGCACCGTCAAGTCCCTAAAAAGCTAACAAAAACATATTGAAAAAAAAAAACTTTGACAGGCTTCATATACTCCACTTAATTAACTATGGTATAAAGTATATAAAATATATTTGCAACAGCTGTGGATTCACAAGTATGTCCAAAAGAACGAAGAAGTAGGACCAATACAAAAAACAGTAACAACATATTACACGGAGGAGGATTTTCTTGTTAGATATTTACCGTAATCTGCGGCGGTCCCGCGGTCTCCTAATTCTGGTCTCGCAGTTATGACAGTAGTGACTTGCAAGCAAATGTCAGAAGATAACCATGGGTATGTCCGTATGAGCATGCAAGGCAGTTAAATGGGAGGAGAGGTTACTTAAGGATGTATTACAGTAACACTAATTTAGTCATGTATGTTCATGTCCAAGACACCAAGCACCACCAATTTAAACGGACCCTTTAGAGGGTACAGCATTGAATACAAGGAAAAAGGGAAACCTTCATGGACAACAGTCAATGTCAGTGACTTATCAACCGATAAGACTTTACAGAGCCTGAAGAAATGGACAGTATATTTCATTAGAATCGCAGTCAGTAATGGCCACTTTCTTGGTCCACCTAGTCCTGAAAAGCAAGTTCGGACGCGAGAAGATGGTTTGTATAATCCTTAACTTAAGCGTGTTTTACTTCAGCTTTTTTTTTTGTTGTTCTACAAGTATCTGCTTCTTTTCCCCCTTGATCACTTCCTAAACACGAACAACTCTGTCTCTTCTGTTATATTTAGCTCCAAGCAAACCTCTGATGCTGGTCATCAACTTACAAGAGCCAAGTGAAACTACAATGCCCAGAATGACGGTCAACTGGCAACAACCTGCTGAACAAAATGGTTTCATCAGAAAATACAGATTACTTTTCACCTACACCATTGATGGAAGACAAACTACCATTACAAGTGAAACAAATAATCAGACCTTTAGGTACAGTCTAGATGTTTTCGGTGGGATTCAGTACAGTGTTGAAATTTGGGCAGAAACTGTTAAACCCGGGCCAATGCTAACTGGAACTAAACAAGTACCAGAATACAGTGAGTATTTACTTTTCAGTTTCCTGCTCTCAGTGCTGTTGTATCAGCGGCCCTTTGAACAGATGATTTGTGTAAACGGAATTCGTAAGGTAACGGAAATGATAAGCACTGGGAAGCTACATCTCTGAGCTGTAAGTCCCAGAAATAAAAGAAAGATGCTCCTCTTACTTAAAATGCCCTATAACTCCTACAAAGAGAGAGGAAAAAGGGGGAAGATTCGCAAGTCCATATGTTGAATTACTTCTGCCAATGAGCATCGTGGTCAGGGAAATTTATGGTGTGTATTAAATAATTATACGGTTAAATTTTTCACCCTATAATTCAATAAATAGTGCCATTTTACAATTTTTAGGTTATCACAAGTTTGTATTCTCACCAGTTGCTTTTTTTAAAATTCTTTTTGCAGAACCAAGCACGTCGCCTCAAAACATAACCTCTAAAAAAATAAACGAAACAACTTACAGAATAAGTTGGAATCCTCTTTCCAGAGACAAGAGCAATGGTAGAGTGGTCGCTTATGAAGTGAATCAGACGAGGCTTTCTACTTCACGTAATGCAAGATCCGTATGCACTCCGTCAGTCCTACAAAACGCAACAGATACATTTGTTGTTTTAACTGGTCTTTCATCTTGTTCCGTTTATAAAGTTGAAGTACGAGCCTACACTTCTGCTGGCCCAGGAGTCTTTGGTAGACTTACTCGTAACATCGCGAATTCAGGTACTTCGATATAGTCAGATCTGCTTAATACGAACACAAAATCGGGACAGAGCCAAGCATGCGCGTTATAGAGATTGTCCCTTTATAGTCGGGGAGATAGAGATAGGTAAAGTTTTGCATCTTTGAGAAGAACTGTCCAAAAAAGAGAGGCGTTGGGATTAGGTATCTCCAAGGGAAATTGAATGGCTTCTTCGACAGTTAGAACTACCATTAAGCTATCCAAGAAAACTTTCCGTTCCAAAGAAAGCACATTACGCAGTTTTGAGTGATTTTTCGATAATTTTCTTTGCCGGAAGGGCGATGTATTTGACTTGTTCTCATACATTATAAGTGTGTCCATCCCTTGCAATCATTGCAAATGATCATTACCGATTGTTGTAGTTCCTGGGGAACCAACTGACGTGAAGACGGAAAATCCTGGTAAACGGAGCATAACCTTGCGGTGGGGTAAACCGAAACTACACGGGGATGATATAAGACGTTACAAGGTAACCTTCGACTTTTTTATAAAGAAAATTTAGGTTTTGTATATAATGGAAGGCACTTAGCTTATCCAGCTGGTTTACAGCACTTAACTCAAATAATTTGAAACAATAATCTTAATAGAACATAACAGGATTAAAAACCACAACTTGCAGGAAGCAATCGTTTGGCTCTTTAGGCGCGAGAGACGTCCCTCGTTCTCGCGTGTCCTCTCGCGTATTATTCGCGCGTGACTTCTCAATATATCCCCTAAAAGAAGGGCATACTCGTATGCTATTGCATACGTTTATGGGCTAAGGGTCGGCTAAGGGTGGATTTCCACTGTCGCGTAATTTTTACGTGCATACATCCGTAAAATATACGTTAGCAAATAAAAGAGGGGCAATGTATGAGAGATCGCGCGTAAAAGTAAAATTAGAACCCCGCTAAACTTCACGTTTAAGCTTAAAACGCATAAGAGAGAGTAAGCATCGTGTTTACGGCAAACAGCGAACGTGAATTTGTACCACGTGACTAAGTTTTCCATTTACTTATCGTTTACTGTTCATACATGTACGAAAAACAGTAGGTTCACGCCAATTCGATCCCTAACAAATGTTTTAAGCTGTTTTTATCAGCTCATTTATCATTTTGAAAATTTCTCAACTTGAATCTCACGTTTGCCGTTTGCAGTAAATGCGATGCTTAATCTCTGTAATATGTTGTTTCCATTTTATTTACGCGAGTAAAATTTACGCGACAGTGGAAATCCACCCAAAGGATCAATTAATACACTCATTGGAATCGTTCCCTAAGGTGTTCATTAGTCAAGAGCGTTTAAATCTTTCCTGTTTGCTTGCAATGTTTTTTGTGGATTACCGTATTTTTTAATGTTCTATCAAATTAAATCCGATGGGGGGTTTATTCGAGGGCAGCGTTTATTTAAAAATCACAGTTCTTAAATCACTCACAACAATTATGATAATTCATAGCGGAGCTCCACCCACGCGCGAAGCGCGCGCTTGGGCGGAGCCCCATAGCTAAGGAAATGTGGTAATCTACCCATCCCAGAAAATTTCGTAATCACGTGACCGTACACCGAGCGAGCGAGCGAGCGATCGAGCGACCGTCCGTCCGCTCCACTGCAGGCATACCAATGTAAAATAACTCAATCAACAGGTATGAGAACCCAAATGCAACTCAAGGTTTTATTTGGAAGGAAATCACATGGCCGCCCGGACTTTTACAAAGAAAAAAGTCGTGTCTTTTTCGGTGTTATTTGTGTACACTAACGTGGACAACAGAGAAAGAGCTAGAGCGAGTTATTGAAAATTAGTTGGAAGAAAAACATGGAAATTTAAAGCGGCGGTGAGAAAATGAGAAATGCTAGCGGCCAGCAAGGTGAAAATGAGCGGCAGTGAAAAATAAAAGCAAACATGAACACTGGAAACAAAATATTGGGTAAGCACAGACGACAATTTCTCCATAAAAATAGTGTGTAACTAGGAAGTTTGACGTTTTAGTCGTACAAAACAGTGTTGTAGTCGTGCAAAACAACGGCAAGGGAAAGACAAAAAAGCGTGCTGCACGTGCAAATTTGCTTTTTGCTAATTAGATCTATTAGTCTTGAAGCCATTTTCATTGTCGTCCCCCCGTCCCCCGTTTACACGTATTATTAACCAGAGCTTCGCTTTTAGCTCTTGCTAAATCTATTTATTAAAAACTGAATCATTGGATAATGCAATTCTAGCATTTTGATTGGCTTAGCCGTTATGGTATATGAGCTAATATACCATGCTCTCCATAAATGGTCGGTGTACGCGTCAGTTTAAAATTGGAAGCTAGCTAAGATTTTTTTTTCGCGAAGGATAGAACGGCGCCCGAAGCAAATCGTTTTAATTCATTTTTTAGAATACTAGAAATGCAATTTCATCGAATGAAAAAAGGCAAAAACAAACAAAAAAGCCACAAGAGCTTGTTTGAAAGTTTGTCGAAAAACACATGAAAACACATGGAACAAAAAGTACCTTGACGAGCTACGAAAGAAGACAAGTGTTGTTTCTTCATGATCGCGAAGCCATTCGCCGATCGAGTCACTCGCCGATAGATAACTGCGGCTTGTTTATCCGACATCAAGAACATAAATCACAAGTAACCAGCTACAAATTATACAGGCTATGCAGCCATTCACTAGAGCAATCGAGGCGGCAGTATAGCTTCTTTTCTCGTTCAGCAAAACCAGCTTGTGGCTTCAAACAACTTCATAACAAGCGACCGAGGTAATAGTTTTTCTCCGTTGTTCTTACTTTTATAACTGCACCGAAAATCCAAATTCACAGTAATTTCGACGGCTGTCACTTAAAAATTCTTTTCCTTCACATTATCTGCCAGGTTTATTTAGCTGTTCTGCTCTGTAAAATCCTAGAATCCAGATGAGTTTTTAAAAAACTAATGTTCATCGCTACAATTTTTTGATTTTTCATTCATGCAGTCGAGTCCGTTCGCGCGTTGACAGTTCTGATAGACGTGTGACATGTGAATAGCGGAAGTCGCTTGTCCTTTCCGGTTTGTTCTAGTATTTTGTGGGCGTTTTTAATAAAACAATTATTCCACTCGCGCTTGTTGGATATGAGATGATTATAGCCAACTCGGCGCTACGCGCCTCGTTGGCTTTCCTACATGTCATATCCAACGCGCCCTCGTGGAATAATTGTTAAATGTTTTAGTGAATACTATGTAGAACGGAGAGATGAAAGTTGTAACGCCTTGCCTTTTCTGCTGAGATAGAATCGTAATTGTCTGGAAGGTGAAGATTACCAAGTTGTGCCAAGTTGTGTGTGTAGTTTTTTTTCCTATTTCCTATATTTATATATTATCCACGAATAAATACTTCATTCTTCTGATTGGGTGAGGCGAAGGCGGCTTTCAAGCAGGTGAATAAGGCAACTGTGAGACCGACTACACACTACACCCCAGTCCTCTGACATCATATACAAAGTACATATGTATACTAAAGCTATTTTCATAGGGCACCGCACGTATTTTCGACCAGTTAAAAATTCTCGCGCGTAGGTGTTCCGTACACACAAAGCCAGTTTAACAGTACGTGGTTCAAAGTTCCGTGTGAACAGAGCGAAAATATTGAGCGGTTCCGTGTGAACAAAGTCACCGGTCAAATTTTTCAACCGGTCGAAACTTCGTCCATTGCCATATCAACGTAACCTTATAGACAACCATATAATTACATAGCAGTCATTTATCTATGCCGCAGATAATCTATAAAGGTACAAAGGATTATTATCCAGAATTTAAACCGCATACTGGAATTCAAGAAACGGAGTCCCCGACGTTAACGATGAACATCACTGATCTTTACCCTGGGACAAAGTATACATTTGTTGTGAGGGCTGAAAATCACTGTGTTTATGGAGGCAACAGTTCTATCGCGCAGGGAAGCACAAAAGTCGATGGCAAGTTATTTACTATTTGTTTGTGCGTCTGTTTTGTTCAATAATTATATCCTCTAGGAATATCGTCTAGGAATCTTGCTTATCAATTATTCAAACCATGATCCGATTAAAAAGAAAACAACCGCTAAATTTGGCCTGGGAGCAGGGACGGTTACAAAGTACAAGCAATCAGCTAAAGAGACTAAAATCATTACCCGGTGAACGACAGCCAAAAATTATTCTCCGAATCTTTCCAGATGGAATGGAGCGAATAACTTGAGTTTGCACTCGATCGAATTTCCAGTTTCCCCGCCGTGTAAACGCTTCTACAGTTATTTTTTGTTTACCTAACAGCTCCTGTGGCGCCTGTTTACCACGAAGTCCAAGTAATCATAACAAACGAAACGCCTGTGAATGTCACGGTGTGGCCTGCAAAACAAACCAATGGTCCCATTAGGTACGAGCAGTCATCATATTAACTCTTATATCACTCCCAAACCCCGGTTATGAACAAGATCATTATTTGCAAGATTTGGTTTATTGAAAGATTGTCACTCTGCCTTATAAATTTTAGTATGAAAACGTTAGTGACTCTAAATCTCTCTGTTATCACAACCACGTTCCCAGGATTTCTCTCCTACCCGTCGGTCTATCTCTCTCTTGCTAAGTACGGACGGGAAGGAGGGGACCCTGGGAAAGAGGTTTACTATGTGCTATTTATTAATACTAAGGATTTTACGGAAAAAAAAACTATCCCTTTGTGGTTTTTATTGCAATAAATACTACACTTGACTGTGGTTAATAGTTTAAAACCAATGATCTAACTGGGTACAAAGACATGGCTGAGGAAACTGGAAAGGTTTCCTTTCCTTCGTCTTCGTGACGAATTTATTGCACTTCAAGACTTGCAAAACCAATGTCTTACTGAATCATGTCATCACGTTATCACCGGATCGTTATGTGTGATGGTGTTAGAAACAACAGAAGAGAAGTCATGGATAAATAGTTTTGACGTTCCCTAACCCCCCCCCTCCCAATGAAGATGTTCATAGCTGGGGGTTCATTTTAACTTTGATTGATAATTTTATGAGCAGTTAGAAGCAAAAGCTTTCTAACATGTGTCTTTCTATTTTGCTTTAATTTTTTCTGATACTGACAGTGATTCTCAAGTTTTGGTGCATCAAGTGAATGACTGGACTGACGAGGTCTCTGAATGGAACACACTTGGAACAGATGTGTATATTGCTGCTCAAATTCCCGCTAATTCTACGAATTCATCAATTGTTTTTGTTGTGGGAGATGGTAAAACCTATGATGGTTATGAAAACAAGCAGCTGTCAAATGGTCAAAAGTACAAGATATATTCCAGAGGATTGGCTCACCGCGTAACCAAGGTGACCGCCTAATCAAAAGAGTGGCTGATTTAAGGCACTTCAAAAGCAACAAAGAACGTGCAACTTGTTATGCAACATTGCTGTAAAACGAGTTGCATGGCGATGTTGTGCGTTTTACCACCATAGTTCGAACGTGTCTTAGAACAAAATAGGCTCCAAGGTTTTTTTATTGGGTGGTAAAACGCGCAACATCGCTATTCAACTCGTTTTGCAGCAATGTTGAATGTTTTTTGTTGCCCGTTTTACTAAACTTTTAAGTATGTGTGATGAGAAGCTATATATCAAGGGTCTTAACCTTCATTACGCAAACTTCACTAAAGTGTACACCTTTCTTTTTGTAAATCCCCGAAAAACAATGCTTCTGTGCAAAATTCAGTTGCCCAGGAGAATTCGTTTGAGTCGTCGCAGTTGATATCGCTTTTCCAACATCAACTGCTCTATTAAGGATTTATTAAATTTAAGCTCACAAAAATCAGGTTATTACGCGCGACAAGAGGAGTCCACAATCCTGACCAGCAGGTTGTTATTACGCATGCGTGGCAAGTGTGCAGTCAGCCCTGCACATAATCTATCCTCTTTTTCAGAAACGTTCTGTGAATCAAAACCATCTGCTTGGTAAAGCAAGTCTAATTGCCAAAGTTCAAATAGACAAAGGTGAGATCGTTTTAATTTGTGTTGAGATAGCCTTTCTGTAAAATGCTACTTTCATTTATCCGACTGAATCACAGGGCGCAGGGGAGCTATTTGTGATTGCAAATAGAGCGAAAATTTTACTGGCGAACGAACGAGTCGCCTTTGTTTATTGTAGAATCTAATATTATGAACTTGACCTTACAAACAGTCATGCGATCGTGTTTACTAACCTAGTAAAATATTATCTAATGCTCGGTAGGAACGAACGTCTCCCGAAGGGAGAAGAATTCGGAAAGCGAAGCTTTCCGAGCGAGGTACGAAGCGCCGAGAAGAAAAAGAGACAAGCGTGTCTCTTTATTATATGTTAGTCGCCGTTATTCGTCCGCAGTCATTACCTTCAGCGGTTTCAATATTAACTAAGGGTGAACCACTATATGATGCTTACACCACGTACCTACCAGGCATAAGATAATATTTTACCAGGTTAGTAACACGATCGCATGACTATTTGGAAGGTCAAGTTCATCATAGATCCTACAGTAAACAAAGACGACTCGTTCGTTAGGCAGTAAAATTTCGCTTTATTTGCCATCACAAATAGCTCCTCTGCGCCCTGTGACTGAATCAGAAACATGAAAGTTTAAAACGTGTTTTATTTTCCTTTATCTCATTTCATTTCATTTCTGTTACATAAAATTTAAAGCCACTAGTCTTCGATAACTATAGGTAACTGGACGACAATACAGAAAAGTACCGTAAAATTCCGAAACGTGATAAGCCCCTCTATGTATAAGCCCCCCAAACTCGTAACGCAAAAAACCCTCCGTTAAATCGCCCCTCCAAATATAAGCCCCCCTGGGGCTTGTACTTGGAAATTGCCCTCAAATACAAAGTAAAACAAAGCAAAAACGGTAAATTTTCTTCCAACTATAAGGCTAGCCCAATCGATTTTGAAACGCAAATTTCCCTAAATATATAAGCCCCTCCGAATATAAGCCCCTCCAAAAATAAGCCCCTCAGAAAGGGCTTTTGAAAAACGTAAGCCCCGGGGCTTATTTTCGGAATTTTACGGTAAGTGCATGAGTTCCGTAAGGGTGCGATCACAAAATGATGTAATGAAGAAGATTGAAGAAACACTGAAACATACGAACACCGTGCTAAGACAATGGCTGACCAAAAATAGTTCCTGCTACACCCAGTAACAGCACAAAGGCCCTGTTAATTCAATCACCTACCGGCATGGACCACGGAAATCCGTACGTAATAAGGAGGTTTCCTATGGTGTGACCGGCCATATAAGTGAAACCTCTTCAGCAGGTACTTTTAAATGGAACTATTGACTTTTCATTATTGGTGAGAGGACCATACATGTCGTTGACAGACAAATAGAATGAGGAACTATAATTGGCTTATTGAATTCAGACTAACCGATAGATAGAGAAAACTCTCCTATGCACAGGCTGAATGATTCAGTGAGAGATTGTTGAACCTGAAACTCACTATCTGACCAATGACTCACGTTCAGCTACAGACAGAATAGAGCCCGCGAGAAATTCTGAATCCCGTTTGCGGGCAAGCGGCAAACGTGAATTTGAATTTGTGCCACTTCACCAAGTTTTCGCCTTACCTGTTTTCAACTGTTTTTTGCTTCTACAACAAATAAGTAGTTTCACGTTATTTTCATCCAAAGAATTGGTTTAGACTATTTTTATCTGCTCATTTTCTACTTTGAGAAATTCTCAACTTGCGTCTGCCGTTTTCCGTTTACCGTAAAGGTACCTCTTAATCTTTGTAATGCCTAATAGATCAACCGTGTGCGTGATTCACCTACCAGAAAGAGTCAGAATGACGGATCAGCTAAACTTACCATCTTCAGACTGACTGACTGACTGACCGACTGACTGACTGACCGACTGATTGACTGTCCGACTGATTGACTGACTGACTGACTGACTGGTTGGAATGTTCTTTCACTAATTTTCATGTTCAATCCTTTAGTTTACAAATGCGATGATGCAGACCGACAGGGAGGGGACATCGGCTCGCAATCCGGCGACAAACCTTCAAACACAGGTTTGTTAGTTGATTTTTTATAGTTTCCCAATATTAATTGTAATCGAACTAAAAGACGGTTTGTTTTAAGAGCTGAATTTTGGAATATCTATGCGTTATAAGCAACAACCAAGTTCCCAAAATCCTCTCCCTCCGTCCCTCTGAGGGAAGAACAGAGATGACGTAAGGATGGGAACGAGGTTGTATTTAGAAATCGCCTATTGAGCCACTGATAGGAACTGTACGCTGATGACACCCACCTTACGTACGCAGGTGATAATGCAGACAATATTCAGTTGCATCTAAATCAAGATTTAGAAAATGTTCACAATTGGCTGAGAGCAAACAAACTTACTCTAAATATGACTAAAACCGAATTTATGCTTATCGGATCTAGGCAGAGGCTAAGTACTCTCACAGAGTCCCCGACATTTGCAATTAATAATTTTGAAGTTAGCCAGGTCACTACTGCAAAATCACTAGGAGTGACCATCGATGACAGACTTGATTGGAGTGGCCATATCGAGAAAGTAACAAAGAAAGTCGCTTCTGGTATTGGGGCCATAAAACGAATAAGGCACCTTGTCCCTAATATATCAAGCTTTAATACAGCCACACTTTGATTATTGCAACATTGTTTGGGGAAACTGTGGGATAACCTTACGGAATAAGGTTCAAAAGCTACAAAACAGAGCAGCCCGTGTTTTGACCTACTCAATCTATGACGTAGATGCTGGTCACCTTTTCAAACTTCTAGGGTGGAAAAACCTAGCTTGCCAGCAACAATTTCAAACAGCTACGATGGTTTACAGTTCTCTGCACGGGTTGGCTCCAAACTATCTTAGTTCTAAATTTGAAAGGCGAGAAGTCGCATATAACCTAAGGGACTCTGAAAATAAACTCAATGTTCCATTACCGCGCACAAACTATTACAAAAACAGCTTCAGCTATAGTGGTGCCATTCTCTGGAACAGTCTTCCTTGTAACTTAAGGGAAGCAGAGTCCCTTGGGCAATTTAAACGATTACTCAAAGAACTGTAAGGCACGGCATTCGTGGAAAGCAGCTTTTTTATTCAAATATTTTTATTATATTAGTATTAGGCATTTTTAAAGCTGACGAATTTTTGTGCCGTGGATAAATAAAGATTATCTATCTATCTATCTATCTATCTATCTATCTATCTATCTATCTATCTATCTATCTATCTATCTATCTATCTATCTATCTATCTATCTATCTATCTATCTACTTTATCATTGCAGCATCTGTAGTATACTCCATCGTCTTAGGGATTGCATTGGTCATTTCTCTTGGAGTGCATCTTTATCAATGGCGTGCTCGAGGAATTTCCAAATATGGCAAAAAGAATTTCGCCAAGGAATTACAAGCGACAGCTTTCGAAAATGAAGGTTTGTAGCGTTTGTGTAAAATAATGAGTGGCATTTTCAGTTTAAACTGAGTTTACAGTTACGGTTTTGGGTACGGGTACTGGATAAAAAAGTAAGATTTATAACCAGGCCACAAGTGAAATATCTAAAATAGTAAAATGAGAATAATTATGATATAAATTTACTCACCGTAAATCTCGTTATAGCCATGTTCATGCAAATGCTAGGGACTTTCACATCTACAGAGAAGACGCTGTTTAGGAAAACATCTTCATCAAAAAGGAAGAAGATGAAGGAAAAAAAAGAATTACACTTACCCCTAAGTAACTTGTGCGGGAAAAATATTCACAGGGAGAAAAATAAATACTTAAACAAATAAATAAAAAAAAGATAATAATAAACCTCTTCTGTTATGTTTGATGTCTGTGGGCTTGTTTTGTAATGACGACAGAACTCCACCTTTCCACCCCAAAGAAAAGAAAAATAAAACAAAACAAAACAGTCTTACATTAATTTGTTAAGATATCCATTCTTCCTATTTCTCCTCAATTTTGATAAAATTCCAACCATTTTCAATCTTAGGCTATGTAGAAGCCCCGTCTCCTCAAGTGGAATCGTTTCATATGGAGCTGCCGCCCACTCAAATCCAGCAAACGACAAAGGATTCAGAATATGAATCTCTAAGATAGAACCCAGATAGAGATCATGATGATGCCTAAAACGAGACAAGATTATAATATGCTAATATGCGAAGAACGGGGTCGAGGTTTCATGAAAATAAGGCAACAGATTGACCTTTTAAAAAGTATCAGAGGTAAAATATTGGTAATTTTAAAACAAAAGAGTTGAAAGGTCAGATTTTCAGTTAAGTTAGTTTGAAGAGCGAAACAGGATCGATCTTAGAACTGAATACATCAACTTTTACTTTAGACAAACGACTTGCTCAAATGAAACATTTTATTACATGCATATAGAACGTCTAGTTACCGTTGCTTTTGCTTTTTTAGTTTTGTTGTTGGAATTTTATCGCGGATTACAATCACACAAAGTTGTGAGCATAACGAACAACAGTTGTAATTAAATAAGCTCAGATTTATCAGTGTTATCGTTTGTTTCTAACTGAGACTTTCGGAGGCTTTGTTTGTTTCCTGCCGTCAGTGTGGATAAACTTCCACAGTTGTTTCGCACTTGCAGTGTTCCTTAAGATACTCGCTAGTTTCTCCTCTGACAACTGACACAACTTCTTGAATGTTTGTCACGTTTTTCATAATAAATCTGAAAAGAAGGCAGAAGTTAACGACCGCTCAGTTCTCTCTAGCGAGACAACGATGATGTCTATAGCTACCAGAATGGAAGGAATGGAGAGCGCGCGAAGCGAGAGGCAAGCTGGGGAGAAACGCCTCATTCGCCCGCTCGCTCGCTCGCTCGTAACATGCTCGCCGAAGCGTCAATCGTGAAGGACTGTCACTAATCTCACAACGTGATATTCCATCTCATGCTGGCGGTTTAGACTCTTCTCAGAAGGCAGTATGTGATTCACTGTTTCTTTGCTAATTGCTCTGAATAACCTAGGTACCAAGTTCCTGTCTGCATCTTTTCAGGCTTTCTCGATCGTTAAATTCGCTCGTAACCACGTGACCCGAAATGCGTAGGCCGCGCGGGATAATGAGGCCTAGGGACAAATCAAAGCAGTAAGGGAGAATCCGTTTGATGTGACGACAAAGAATAACGCTACAAAAGAAGTTGTCATGTTATGAGTCTGTACCTGTAGTTCTTGAAGTTAATTCCAGGAAGTTTCAGAATAAAGTCCTTGACAGTAGAAGAGAAAATGACATGCGGGTAAGTGTTGATAGCTTTTCTGGCGCCACTTGTTTAAAAGGTAGATAATGCTATCCACCAAATGAATCTCTATCCAATGGATAACGCAGTTGCTTTCTCTAATACTTGTCCTCTGGATCGCGCAATGCTACTTCATGAGTAACAGACAAACACTAAACCAACTTACAATTAAACCATATAGCGATTTTAAACAAACATTTTGATCATTATAAGTTTCAGGGAAACTGCCCTCCTACCCCTCCCCTAAGCCAATATTTTGCCCTAAGTGAGAAGCAAGTGTTAATGTTAACTTAGGGGAGGGGTAGGTAGGCAGTTTCCCAGAAACATACAATGATCCCTACAGGGATCATTCGGACGGGCGCAATCACCAAATGACTTAATACAAAAGATTGAAAAGACGAAAAAAAAAACCGTGCCATAACTAAAAGGGAGCTGAAAATGGTTTCCGCAACACCAAGAAGCTGCCAATTCCCCCACGACCCTCTCTCAAAGAATTTTTCGTAGGTATCCCGGATGTAACATACGTCCTAAGAAAAATTTAAGACGTTACTGTACCACCTTCTCCTCATTTCTATTGTTATAGGAGGTGGAGGAGGAGGAGGAGAAGGAGGGAAAACAATAGAGATGAGGAGGAGGGAATTCAAGAATGAGGATCGAGAATAATAAAATTGTGGAGGAGGGAATAAAAATATTGAGGAGGGAAACGTGGTAAAAAAAAAGGTAGTTTGCTTTCTGTGACTATTTTTATAGATTTCTTTCAAATCGCTGTATTTGAAATCAGCGCTTCCTACAGATTGCCATTAACAGTTTGCTGTCTGTTAACAGATCACTGACTAATCTGCTGGCCCCAGTTGTTCAGTGGATAACGCGATCCACTGGATAAAATCTCTACCCAGTGCATGGCGCTATTGGTTTTCGTACTACTCATCCACTAAACAGGGATTTATCCGGTGGAGCGATAGCGCTAATCCACCGTTTCAACAGCCGGGGCCAGGTTGCGGGCTCAATGCATTATTTCCAGAAGCAATGTCAATCTGTGTTCTGTGCGACGGTCAGGTGTTTGCCTTTTTATTATTTTTTTTTCTTCAAAACAATATCTAACAAAAAACAGTTGCTAGATTCAGTTTTTGCATTGTGATATCCGGAATAATCAAGATCGCTGGGCGAGGCTGATAACACTTACCTCGACTTTGATTATTCCGGATATCACAAAAACTTCCATCCAACAATTGTCTAAGAACATTGTCATGTTATTATGACGCCCAATAAAGCGACAATGTTTTTTGTTTTTTTTTTGTTGTTTCGTTTGTCTTTTAAAGTAAGAAGATTTAACATGAACTGGGAGAACCTCTGCGACATTATATTGTACAAGGTTTTGTTACAAATTATGATGAAAGTCACTCTACGTTTTGGAATCATTATTTAAGTGACACCCCTCTCTAGCCGCACTTTGCTGAAGACAAGACATGCAGTGAATATACCTCTTTTATCTTTTTACTAAACAGTAATAATAGTTCAGAAACCTCTCCGCATTCTCTCGCCTCGCTCCTCGCCACTACCTTGCAGTGTTCGCAGGCTATACCACTAAAACATGTTTAATAGACTACTAAGAATTTCATCACGCCAGTTGCTCCAATCATAAGTTATCCCAGCAAATGAGACTGCGAGCAGTTGCAAGTCAGAGTAGATACAGGCCGTAGTCCAGGTTAAGGTTATTTGAGATGACATAAATTTAAGATGTTACTGGTACTGGATGTCGGAAGCGCCTCTTGAAAACATAATGAAGCTGAGGCTACGTTCTGGTGCACAGAACCGGCCAGTTAAAAATTCGTGCATTTTGGGTGTCCTGTTCACACGGAACCATGCTAACAGAACGAAAATTTAGACACCTTGCGGTTCAAAAATTTGAAAGCCAGAAACGAAGTCAAATTATTAGCCCGCAATACGGTAAAAAAATTTGATCGGCGCACTGTGAACGCCATGCGCGACCAAGATGCACGACCGTCTAAATTTCTGTACGCCAAAGGCGTGGCTGCATAGATGCAAGAGATGCCATTTTGGATTTGCTTAATTAGCGCTCAGCGCATGAAGAGACGGTAACACCACTTGACAGAAAAAAGTTAGAATTTAACCTGTTTAGTCAGTTCCATGTGAACAGAGCGAAAATATTTAATGGTTCCCTGAGAACGAAGTGTCTGGTCAAATGTTTCATCCGTTCTCGTCTGAGAGTAGCCTAAAATTCATCACTTGGCGCTTTTCTTTACAGATCCAGATTTATAGGGTGGTTTCGGGAAGAGGGATACAATCTGAAGTCAACATTATTCACTGACGATATCCTGTAATTATGGCTACTCTTTGAGTTGTTATAATTTCTGACCTTAAAAAAATTAAAAGAATCTTTCTCAACTGTCTTTTAAGTCTATCCTGGTTATTTTAGACGTTATCTAGACATTATCTAGGAAAAGTGGTAAGGCAGAATTTTTGCTTATCACTCACTACCTCTGTTGTCAAATTTCCTTTGAGGTAAATTTAAACCTCCCGTTAAGCTCGTTATCAAAAACTTTGCGGACTCCTAACGTAATATATAGATTTAGCCAGGGCTAAAAGCGAAGCTCTCGATAATATTTAGAGTCTGTTCAAACAAAATATAAGAATTTTCTGGGACCGCGGAGGGGGAGGGGCTGGTAGGGCTATAGCCCTACCACTTTTATTTTGCTGGGATTTATTTTATAGGACTCCAGTTGATATGGAAAAAATTTCCGTGGAATTATTGCTGGTTTGCAGTGTCACCCCATTCAAAATAGATCAAAATAAAAATCAAAACCGTTCAATAGATAAAGTCCGGAATCTGGGAAATGAAAGGAGGTACATATACAAAGACCCTGGCCAAGATTCAAGTCAGATGAATATTTCGTATACGAGATATCCGAAGAAATGTTTTACCCAAACTTATAGAGATTTGTATGGAGACACCATGCTGATGCTCACCTGGATGAGCTCCAACATGGCGGACGGAAACCAACAGAAACATCTGTTAGCGAGTTTTGCTACAAGAGCGTGAATTTATTCTTTGAGAAACTCATAAACATTAAAGTAATACTTTTTCTAATTCACGAACTGTTTAGATAGCAAAAGTTCCTGAAATAAGTCGTTTTTTTTAACCTACATGACAGCTCTCTTGACCGTCATGTAGATGCCGCGTCACGCAAAAGCTTAGAAATTCAAGTGTAGTCTATCACAAAACCAAGAACCCTTCTGAAGCGAAAATTTGTATGAAAATTAGTTTTCAGCTGCTCTAATACATCGTGAAAGTGAAATCTCGGTAGGATCGATAGTATTTTGGTTTGAATTTTAGTGACGTCATGTGAAAACCAACAATTGGACTTTGCCCTATGGAAGAGTGGGCATGTTTGCTTGTCCGAACGATTATAACCCGATGTGCGTGCAAGGATAATAAGATGTAAGGCCCAAATGGAGTGATTTGACTTTTTCTTTGCCCTACATCTTGGAGAGCACCATTATTACCACACCGATAATCTATCTAAGGATCTTCAGGGTACTAAGATGGCTGCTGTCAGTGGACAACGCCTGGCAAATTTAACAAAGGGGACGCTCATAAAAATTCGCATTGATCAAAGTTTCGACCATTTCTATGCTAATGTTGCCCGCAAGAGTGAAGACCTCCTTGGCGAACCAACGCTTCCAAGAAAACGAGACACTTCGGCCAGACTGGAGGTTGGTGCTGGTGCACCAAGCTATCCCCAAACTGCTAGAGATCACTTTGTACGGCCTATTATCAGGCTATTCATCTTATCGTCAGGGCTATCTATCAGCGCGTTAATAAGGAAAGCTTCACCTCTTAAGCCCAGATGGAGACCCTCTAGCTTAAAGCTGCTATAGCTAATGGTGACGACTATGAGGCAGAGTTCAGTTTCTTCAAGCATAATAAAGGGAAGATGTTGCGATACAGGGGCGCTACCTAGGCAACTAAGTACTATGGAAGATGGAGAAGATATCATGTTTTGACGAAATCCTGTTGGCGGTGTTAAAGTTTCCAGAACCAGAAAACAAGCTAATTCAGGAAGTCCAAACTATCTGTAAGCTGCTTGCTGTAAATCCTATTACCAGCGCTGCTGGCGAGGGTTCATTCTCATCCGTAAGTACGGCGTCTTAAGACGTGGCGTCGATCCAGGATGGGTGATGAGAGGTTTAAACAACCTAGTAGTAACGTTTATTATATGCATACTGAGAAATACTCACCAAAAAGCTATGTCGTAAATTTTCGTACGCAAATTAGTTCTAGCCAATCAGAGGAGCGAACGATGGTTTTCACACGTGAAAAAAATGATACGTCCAATCAGAATCGCGAACGATGTTTTTTCACGTGTGAGAAAAATGATACGTCCAATCAGAAGCCACAAAGGTGTGTGAGTTTCGCGCCAAAATTCCCGCCTCTTATTGCAGCTTGCAGCGCCGCTTCGCACACATTCAACGAGAAAAGTTCTACTCAAAGAGTT